TTGAATAACGCATTGTAAATGGTTATGACTTTATGAGCCCATATTTCTTTGAGCTTTTATAGATTCCGCCGATTTTGCATCAACTCCGCCTGCTCCTTTATTAATAATCATTAGCCATATTACCTATCAACAGAATCAGTGATAACATCTGATCACACCAAAGTAAACTAACTTTTTAAATTTCTTTTTTAACCTATACTTTAAAAATGTACGATGATACGAATGTATACAGTCATATCCGTATGAACCAGTATTGTTCTAAATTATAGTTACATATACAAGAACTTTCAGAGGTGAAAATAAATATTCAACAATTATTTGTAAGTAATTTTCAATACCTATATTGTATTTAGTAGAAATCAGGTGATTATAAAAAATAGTTTAAAACCAATTGACTTTTTTATCTTCTTTATCCCATATTTATGGAACTTATATTAAATTTTATCGTAGTTACATCCTTCTACGCTTATAATATAACCGATAAAAATTAGCATATAAAACATATTATGAGTTTTGCTAGGACCTTTAATTTTAGGTCGTTAAGCCCGATGGCTAATATGTCACTAAAAGGCTGAATATTATAGCATTGCAGCATTCCAAAGATAACTACGAAAAAAAGCCTAATCCGAATTGCGGGTTTTAATTTATATTAATCTAAACTGCAACCCGATTAATATTAATCATTTTAAGATGATCATATCATACTAAAATATTATTGCTACCTTTTTAACAACAACAATAACTATGAACTACTAATGGCTATGAAACTTTTTATTCAAAGTTCAAAAACGGCATTTTCTACTATGATCATTCAATTAATATTCTCGTATTTTTCAATGTTTGAAAATACACAATACAATTCATATATTTAACTATGATATACTTACTTAAATAATCACAGAATAAATACAATACACAAATAAACATTTATTAGAAATTCTATGACATTATAAAAAGACAGGAAATTAACAAATTTAAATTTAAATAAGTTTGTACCACTGCTACAATATGACATAATCAAACAAAATGTATAGCATATTTAAAACAAAAATATGGTAGCAAATTAAAAAAGGTAAACAAGTGAACACTGTTCTGTCGTACAGTAAATGTTATGTGGGCCACTGTAATGAATTTGTTAAATTTAATTCCAATAATAATATATACAAAAAATCAAAAAAAAACGATTCTAATCAATGACGGTCTATCAGCCTATATCACTATTCACTAAATATATTTCATGATATATTCATTAATATTGCTATTCAAATAATTTAAGTCATCTTTTATTCAAATTAATGTCCACAAAATTTTCAAATAATTTTAACTCCAATAATATCATAAGTAAATTAAAATTAAAATTCGTTAAAAATTATAATTTTTTCGGGACAGGAGTGTTTGAGGGGCGCAGGATAATATTTTAGATACCTATAGGTACATAACTCAGAAAATGTATCTGCAGTATGGCTAGAGTCACCATTGGTTTTAACTTTAACTCACTGGCATGCAATTAAATATTATGGTATAAAGTTTTTCAATAAGTTGGTCCAAAAATTACTTTTTAAATACAAAACATTTAAAATTTTAAATAATTACTAGATATAATTATTATTGAAATATATAATGCTATATATAATGTTATATACGCATGATTATACTTATATTTAATGAGTAACAACTTACCAGTAAATGATAAATAAATATATTTTTAAGTATGCATTTTTATCTGTCTGTGAAGTTCCTTCTGTACTTACTCTGAAGCTTCGCACTTAAAGTGAGTTGAATGTTGTTGCATAGACCACGCTTTTCCCATTCCCGTACCAAAACAAATACAATTAATAGGTGAATCTAAAAGCTGTCATTAATTGCATCGAAGCTAACCAGCTACTAGAAAATCGCATAGTGAATAAATTAAACGCTAGTCAATTAAGCACGTACTTTTCTCAAATAAATAATATAAAGGTTTACAGTCTTGTGACTACAATGCTACAATTCAAATCAGCATTATTTTTAAAATAAGTTCTTATACTATGAAATCATACAATTAATTAATTAATTGATTTTTTCCCATACTAACAATTTGCTTAGATAGGTACTTTACAAATGTAATTTAAATAGCTCAAATTCGAATAGGTACTTAATTTGGTAGGTGACCGCTGCATAAGCCAGCTTAAAGTTTTTGACCTCCCAAAGTAAGTTATAATAAAGCTTCAGCTGTAAAGTTTAAGTAAAATTCAAAATAGGTACTTGAATTTATATCAGCAATTGAGCAATTTATTGAAGTTTTTTCGTAAATTTATTATTATAGTTATAAAAAAATATAGTAAATATACAGGTTACACATAGTGGCTTATTATTATTATTAAACATTAATTATATACATTTGAATTTATAATAATATAATACAAAAACGGTTTTAAGCAAGAAATTAAATAATTTAATTTAATTTAATTTAATTATTTAAATTGAATTCATGAATTCGTAAAAATACATTATCGACACCAGGATTGTGGGACATTTTTGGTCGACACGTTTTTTAGGGTGGTCGGTATAATTGAGCCACATATTTTTATCTACCAGCTTCGTATAAAATATTCGTTAGCATTTTATTACCCTGGCATTGGACCATAAATGTATAAAACGAAAATATATGATTTGTAATATTTATTAATTTTAGTACCTTTATAATTTAATTTTTTAATTGATATACAATATAAATTAGGCAGATACATAAAATTAGTCAAATTATTATTAATTTGTTTTTAAATAATACAATACAGATTTCACAAATTAAAATCTGGATTTTCCTTTTCTCCGTGAAATTTAATATTATTATTTTTAATTTAAATTAATTTCTATGCTTTAAATGATCATAGGCTTCTTTAAAAAAGTGACCCAATGACCGAAAACTTTTTTGAAAAAGGTACATTGCAGCTTAATTCCTGGGTGCCTATTTTTGTGCCATTTGCGGTCAATTTATTTTAATCAAACTTAAATAACAAAAATAAACAATATAATTAAATAAACACACTGTAATATAGATTTAGATATATTTAAACTTTCCTTTACACTTTTCCATACTTAGGACTAACGGCAGTATTTTTTTGAGAAACAATATTTCTAAATTAAATTGGACATAATAGAACCTTTAAGGCCATAGGCTGTAATTCTATATTCACTTCTGTCATCAAATGATAAAAATTCAGAATCGTTAGGACCTACCTATAACAAAAATTTAAAATATCTTACAATAAGGGTTTTAGTTTCAATATTTTTAAAAACTTTCAGTTCAAATACCGATATTATTAATTTTAGTCTCAAACCCTGACAGCAATAATTCTCATATTTATTTTGTGGGCAAGTATATTATCATACTTTAGTAATTTACAGAAACATATAGATACCTAGTCAAAGAGCGGTGTATAAGTCAAATAATTGTTTAAAAGCCTTCATAATTATTTTTAGTTTTGGGATGTAGAATATAAATTTAAAAAATGTATTTAATTTCTGAATACAAATTTACTGTATTCAAATTTATTGTTACATATATAGTTTTTAAAAATATGTTAAACATTATTACTGTTTAATATTTTGATTGCCTTGAATAGTTAAATATTATAAATCATTGTACACTTACAAAAATACTAATGTCATCTAGCGTTTGAACTTGTATGCACTTCAAAAGCTTAAAATAATATGCATTTATCATTTTTGCATCAAGTCTTGTAATGTGCACTTTCAAGGCTCTAATCTTTTTAAATAATAAATAAAAATATACTGCAAACAATTTTTAAACTTTGAAATAAGGTTTTGAATCCTATATAAAATAAATAATTGTTTTTTGTTCTTATTTGATTTGCGTTTTTAAGCATTACTATGTAAAGCTATATCAACGTATTGTACTTGAAATATTTTTGTACAAATGATTTGTTTTTGACACAATTGACAAAACCTTACCAAATGATCTGTGATAAACAAGATATGGTCTGTTCTATTTTAAAATTTACAAATGTACTAACAATAAATATAAATATAAAACATAAATTTATACATTTATAAATGTATTTATAAATGAAAAATTAATAAGAAAAAAATCATACATAAAATTATATACATAGAACAAGGATCGCGAAACGATGTCTAGTATATTCTATAGGTGATTAGTGATTACTATTATTGGTGATTATGCCCAACAACATATTTAAAAAAATCACATATTTAAAAAATCTAAGAATAAAAATGGTTTAAAAATAAAATTTAAACAAAATTGCTATTAACCACCTTGCATTATATGTACAAGGTATAATTTGAACAAAAACCATCCAAAAATGCGAAGATTACAATTTAATTCCATACAATAAACTCAAAAATTATAATCTGGTTTGTACAATGAAATAGAAATAAAATAACTGGCATAAAAAACGTTTGTACAAAATTTTGTAAATGTACTATCATGCTTAAAATATGCATTATGTTTATGCAAGATTTATTTTTTCTATGGATTCTCTGCAACACAAATCATCCATACCTTTTAATCCCATCAAACTCTGTATACTCATAAGAATGAGATAAATTAATAAGAAACCGGACCCTAGTCTTTTAATCAATAACTTATAAGGTGTATGACAATTGATTAATTAATGAAGTCTCACTTTGTTGATTGTTCTTATTATTGAGACTTTTAATATTCAACAGCCCAATATTGATGTAGTTTATTTGCATAGTCTTCGAAATTCCAGATACAGCTCATGTTTAAATATGGTTTGTGCTTAGGTAGTCACTTTTCAAGTTAAATTCCCCTTTCAACGTCAAAAAATAAAATGTGATTTTTTTTGTTAAAGAAACTCTTACTGATTATACCTTCCTTTATAATTTCAAACCATAAGAATACTTGAAACTAGTTATAATTAGAGTTATTGTGTCTATACATATTTAATACAAGAATATAATTATCTTATTTAATAAAAATACAATATATTAAAAAAAGTGGATCTAAACCATTTAATAATTAATTCGTTGGTATCTTTACAAAAAAATTTTACATAATGAATAACAGAACTTCTATTTTTTATTCTTTTTAGCAAGTTTGTTAATTTCATGAGCTTGATTTGCACCCCAACTGTAAATTTGCTTAACTTTATTACGCCTCTCCGCATCACTAAAAGTTAATGAGAATATTAATGTAGAATAGAATAAAATGTTTTAACAATGATAAAATATAAGAATATTTTTACTACCTTTTAGCTTGTTCATGGTACTTAAGTTTAGACAAGAAACTATTATCTTTTCTAATTTCTCGAACAGCAGATTTCATCTCACGTTTATATCGATGCAGAAGTTTTGATCTCTCAGCTTTTTCTTTAGACTCAGTTTTGAATGTTCGGCCATCATATCTGTGAAAAAAGAATATCAAGAATATATTTTACTAAAAGTTTTTTGACATTAATAATCAAAACGTACACTTTTTGAATTCTAGGTTCATACAAGCGAAGGGCTTTAGGTCTATTAGATAATGTTTGAAGTTTTTCTAATTTTTTATCAATCGTCTGTAATTGCAGCTTTGTTTTATCAATTTGTGCATTCATTTCGTCAGAATTAATCTAAGAAAATACATTAAATATAGATAAAATAACTACTAAAACATACAAATTTAAACTTAAAAACAAAAATATTAATGAATATTTTAATTAAGTAAAATATAAACATATATGAGTTAGTTTTTGAACAATTTTTTTATTTATAAAAAAAAATATTATACTTTTTTGGGTATTTTAATAAAATCTGTATAATTTTTTATAAAATAAAATTTTTTCAGTATATCATACAAAGAAAATAGCTAATATAGAGTATACTTAAATATGCTATATAAACTACTATTAAAACACAAAGTAGTTTATAAACATTGTAATCACTAATCAATAGAATACATTTTTTGAAAACAATTATTAAATAACTTACCTATACATATAATTTAAATAAAAATCATATTCTATCTTTCACAGTCATCGTTTCATTTATTATTTATCCACCCTTTCTTCATTTTTCTTAAATTATTTTGCTTCTACACATCATATACCAAGGAAATTAATTACGATATTAGTCTCATTCTTTTTTATTGACTTACATTTAGGCCTGCCTAGTAATTTAACCTTTTATGTCATTTTTCTATTCTCAGCTACTCTTTTCCTAATAACACTATTCATAGTTTTCATTAACCTCTTGTTATAATTTTCATACATAATTAATTTATTATTAACACTTACATCTTAATTAAAATTTTTTTTAGTTATTCATGAATAATGAATTATCAAATGTATTCCTAATATATACTATTTACTTTAGAACAATGTTAGAAATAATGAAAATAAAAAATTTTAATTACCTTTAATACAGTTATAATTGATAAATGGGGTGCCCAAATTTCATTAACACTATGTATATCTTCACATAATTTGCTAAACCTAAATATTAAATCTAATACAACATATAATGAAGTAAATTTGAATGCATCATCTATATTTTCTTCACTAAATATTTCATTTATGCTCAATTTTTTTGACCATTCAATTTGAGTTGCATTATTTTCTATCATTAGTAATTTCATGTTAGGCTTGAATTGTTGTACATAACTAACGGAATTGTTTTCACTAGTAGTCATTAATAACATTCCTCGTAAGATATTTACTACTTCTGGTATGTATCTTTTAGACAACTGAACATACTAAACACAATTCAAAATATTAAAACTTATTAAATTACAATTAACCATTAGAAATAACTTTATTATTTGATTAATTTTTATACAAATCACACTCACTTCTAATAAAATTGTTGTCAGCAATAAACAAGATGCTATGTCTGAACGTTTTTTAATTTTGGTTTGTGATAAAATCTCACTAGCTATCATTACAGCAAATGTACAAACTGGATGGTAATAGTCAGATGTTGGGAATAACAGAGGAACCAATTTAAAAAAAATTAACTATAACAAAAAATAACAACATGATTTATACTTTACAATATTTAAATTAATTTAAATTAACATATCTGAAGTTATCTGTTTTAGTGATGAATCAATAAAATCAGTATGTTTTTCTTTTAATACTTCAATAAAACATTTGGCTGCATGTTCTGGAAAAAACTGTGTTAGGTCATACAAATGAGGGGCTAAAGAATTAAGTATCTTCCAACCATCCTAAAAAGAACAAGCAAACATACATAGTATAAAAAAAATAAATTTTTTTAGTTTTGAAGTAAAGAACTCACTATAGAACATGAATTATCATTCAAATGTTGCAAAAGATAAGGATACAGACGCTGTAAATTTGATCTGTTATCATTACCTAAGCTTGGATGATTTACTTTGATCATTCGCTCAATAATTACTATTTGCTCTTTAATAGATCTATCTTCCAATATTTCTTGGAATCCTTCATATGATTCAGCAACTGAAATTTAAAAATACATTTAATCTAGTTTTTTATTTGTTGAAGTATACTATGTTTTTTTACTAGTTTATGAACAAAATATACATAATATTGAAGTTGTGATAAGAAGTACTTTAAATAAATGTATAAAAAATATAAATATAATCATATTGTATATGATATCATTATAGATACTATTCATAATCATTACCTGTAAAAGTATAAGGTAATTGTTTTCTTGCTTCATCCATTAATACTTTTTTTTCCTTCAACTTTTTAGCAAATAATTTGGTTGATTTATTTTTATCTGTATTTTCAATACATATATTTGTTTCTTCATCATTAGAACTCTCGTCATCTTTAAGATCACTCATATCATTATTTAAATTATTCTCATTTTCATCATCATCATCATCGTCGTCATCATCATCATCATCATCATCGTCATCATCATCATTATTTTCTTCATCTGATTTCATTTCATCATCAACATTTTCAGAATAATCATCATTTAAACCTAGAAAATTATCATAAACTAAAGTATTAAATTAAATAGAAATTAATCTACACTCAAAATTAATTTATAATTGATAATAATTAATAACAAAAATACTTAAAACAAAAGTATTTTATTATAAAATATTTATTAACATAATTTGAATAAATATTACCATTTTGTTCTTCATCAACAGAAATTAAATCAGAATTGAGTGGTTTTCCTTCAGAGTTGTAGGCTAAAGGCTGTACCTCATCGTCACCAAAATCAAAACTAAACAATAAGTTATTTTAATAAAAAAAGTAACAATTATTAAGCCTTGAAATATTAAACAAAACATAATACATACCCATCATCCAAATCATCAGCACTTCGATGTTTGACAATACCATCATCTTCAATTCCTTTCATTCTTTTTAATCTTTCAGATTCTAACTTCTCAAGTCGTTCCTTTTCTTCTTTAGCAATTTCTTCTTCGGATTTTAATTTATCACTAGCCTACCAAATAAATAAATATACAAATTAACTTAAAGTATAATTACTCAAACTATTTAAATAAAAATGCAATAGTTTTACCATTCCTCTGGGGTCAAATTTTAATGATCTCATTAAAATATCATAAGAATTTTTATCGACTTTCTTTTTAGTAGGAGGCTCATCTTCAGTATCTGTTTCACCACGATTCTTTGTAGGTACAACGGGCATGAGTTCCTTCCAATCTTTATCTAACTGTTCAGTCAGCTCATTTGTTTCTTGTTTAAGTTGTTTTTTTTCATACTTTCTCAATTTAGATTCAGCTATCAATTTATCAATCAAATCTCGGTGACTAGTTTCACCATCACCAGCTCGACTTAAAATGCCTCCACCAAAATGAGCTTTTTCAACAAACTCAGCTAAATAAAATTAAGACACTACTCATAAAATAAAATACAATATGCAATAAAAAAGTAAACAGTAAAACACAAATAAATGTATTCCAAACCTGCCAACTTTCCACCACTTCGATCATCATCTGAATCAGAATCATCATCACTCATAGGTTTTTCAAATTTTTCAATGGTAGACAATGATTGACCATGATGAGTAAGATCCTCTTCTTCACCCAAGTTATACTTCATTTTCTTTTAAAATTAATATAATTATGTATAATAAATAATGATAATTAAAATTATAATATAAATAATAATACTAATAAATATTTTTTGTGCCTTGACTCTGCTTGCTGTAAATCGCGCAATAACACGATCATCAGCTGTCATTGCTTGATTTTTTTCACCAATTCGACGATCCACGAATTTATTCGATTTGTCTTTAAGTTTGTACTCAAGCAATAATGATTTTTTTCTCTGAAATTAAAACATAAATTAAGTCTGAAAAGATTTTGTTACAAAAACACTCGTATACCTTTTGAATAGACTTCGATCGAGCAATACCAGGTTTACCCACTTCATTTTTGGATTTACGACCTAGTATAGTGAACTTCTTGTTATTTATATGTAATTCAAATGGATTAGGTTGTTTTTCTTTATTTTTTTTAACTTTCATTTTAAAATAATAGCAAATATAAAAGTAATTAACTAATAAATTACCTACTTAATTATTAAAATTAAAACGCACGTGTTATTAAGTGTTAAGAATTTATACAACTATATTTATGATAATGCATGATAATAAATTTGATTATAAAGATAATAACAGTTCTAAGTTATGATAACGTGTTTTAAAACCACAGATAAGACTCATGGAAGAATTCCCGGGTGATATAATGTACAATGTTATATTATAATTATGTTGGAACCATAAAGCAGCAGTTTCCAACCTTTTTCGTTATGAGGATCATCAATTTTGTAAAAAAAACTTTGAGACCCATCTATGTACGTTAACACATACACACACACACACACACACACACACATATATATATATAAATATATATATGCATACAGCAGTTATTAAAAGTAAACAAATTAAATATTATTAGGTACCTATATAATAAAAATATGTAATACTATTATTTTAAATATATAGGTATTATATAATATTTAATATTATATGGTTCACGGTTGAATAACACTCTGCTCACGGTCTACAAGTGGGTCGCGGCCCATGGATTAGGAACCGCTGCCATAGAGTATTACTGATTACTCTATGGTTGGAACATTAACAATAGTTATATAGATAGTAACACTATTTTTTTATTTTTTTATCCATTTTACTTTCCATCACGGCACCGCATAAACTAAATTTTAAAATAATTATGTAGACTAATTTTTTTTGACTTATAGTTTTTCAAAACATTTATAAGCACAGAATATATTGATCTATTCATTCATAAGATTATATTATATGTCCATTGCCTGGTACCAGCTAGTTCATACACTAAAAACTATCGATAATATACGCTTAAAATCACTAAAAGAAATGTACTAAGTGAATATTCGTAATTTTATTTACGTTTAAGAAAAAGGTTTTTAATGTAAATTGTATAAAAATATATTTTTTGTTTACACTAGAAATATGTTCTGAATTAAGATAGCAAATTATAAAAGTAATAAATAATGTTCCTAATAATTGTATTTATAAGTATTTGATTTTAAGATTTTTTAAATATATTTTAAAACATTTACTTGTACATACCATAATTCTAATAATTCTAAGTATTAGTTACATAAACTGTAATCATTTAAATAAACTAAAATATTTTCGATTTTCGTGAGCCAAGACAAAACGCATGCGTCATCAAACTCATAAAAACCTTCCTTCGACTTAGTGATAGGTATTACTTTTATTGAAAACGGTCCAATAGTCTTGGAGTCTATAAATAATAAATAAATAAACATTAATTTATAAATATATATACAACTATAGATGATCGTACTCGTTAAATTCGTATGGAGCAATAAATGTAGTAATTGATTTCACGTAATTAATGTGTGTGTTTTTTGTTGTTGTCATCTCTAGGGCTCGGAAGTTATTGCAATTCCATGGTTTTTTTTTTTTTTGGAGCTATTATATTTATTACTAATAGAAAGCTTTAAATTAATTTCACAACTCCACGAAAATAATATTAAAAGTTTATAGGACATATTTTTAAATATTTAATGATTTTTGTAATTTAATGAGTATATTTTTCAATTTTACCATTTTTCAAAGCATATTTGATCGACTGTAGTTAATTGTTTAAAAAATCTATTAACATTAACTGAGTTATATACTTTTGTAATGATATGCACACATATCATAATTGTATATTACTTAACTATTCAATAAAATAAATAACGGTCAAGTTGTCGCACACAGATAGCTGTTAAAACCCTATAAAGTATAAACACTATTAATCACTGATGAAAGAAACGATTTACATTATTTGGCACGTAGGAACTCACACTTAGTTATGACAATGTGGCGCAATATGTGTAATCTATTTCGTATGCCACCATAGACAAGGGTAGGCCTAATGAGGGTCTCTATTGCCAAAGAAAAAGCCAATTTCTTTGGAAAACGCAAAGACCTTTAATGGAGCTGCCTGCGAATCTGGCTAGCTTTACCCGGTCGTCTTCTCTCATCAGTGTATGCGCACTTAACAAGAACTCTCTACACAAGATTCTACGAGCGACAACTGGACTTCTTCTCAATAAGCTAAACCAGAGTTGTTTTTTTTTATTTGAACTCAAGTGTTTCGTAACTTGTTTCTTAAATTGTATTACGTCTACCTTTTCCCAAAGAAAATACTACATATTTACTGCTGCGAATCTAGTAAAATGCATGATCATTAAATACTTATTATATTTAGCCATTATAGTTTTTTATGTTTAATTTACTTAACGGTGTACTTAATCACTTTAATAAGACACGACCTCGAGAATCCTCCGAAGATCAGGAAGAAGATAATAACTTGAATTTAATATAAGTATTTGATGAGTGATTATAATTTCCTAGCACTTATAAGTGTAGAAGTATATTGCCACATTTCTCATATTTTTTAAATTATTATACTTATATTTAATTTCAAAACATGGCAATTTACATTATCACAATTAAGGATTTTGATAAATTTTCAAATAATTAGATTGTGGACAACCTAATTTCAAGATTTAAACTATTTTTGTACATGCTACCATAGACCATAGTATGTAGTACTTATATGTGTGTGTGTGTGTGTGTTTATGTCTTTATATTACTATAGTAGATTTTAGCTTTATGGCTAGCTTGCGTGGACACAAAAATATTATATTCACAGATTGTCATAAAAATGAACCATAATTTGTGAATTAAATAAATTTTATTATTTCTTTTAGAAAAGTTTTGTAGGTACCATTTAAATTTTTCAATTAACTGTAAGAAGGGATTGTTCTAAAATGTTTTAAAAGTGGAAGTGCTGTATATAGTACAATATGATACTTTCACACAGTTTAATGTGAAATATAAAACATAGCTGAAGGCAAAACAAAAGATAGGTTATTAATTACATTAGTGGCGTAGTTGGAAAAAAGAGAGATCAATGAGATACTAATTTTTTAGTTATTACAGACCCGTGATGGTTGAAAAAGAGAGTTGTAACCTAAAAACTATCCCTTACATGCACCATTTTTGTTGTCAAGTACTAAAATAATGTAAAAATTAAATCATAGCTTTTAAATGTAGGTAAATAATAATGAAATATTATTGATAATTATTAATAGTATATTTATTATACGCAATCAACGTATTTAATATTATATTTTTTATTCCTTAATTGCACTAAATATACATTTTTAATTAGGTAATAAAAAATTTCTAGTTGCCTCGGTTCCTTAGTTATCTCATCCAACACTTCATCTGGTGTAATAGGTGTTATTTCTCTATAGATCGCTGACATAGTTAAACCATTTAAATAGTCCTAAAACAAACAAGATTGATAATTTAAAAATGTGTAATATTTAATTAAAATTAATTATTTTAAAATTTTATCTAGGTTATTGAATTCTTCAACCATGTCTTCACTCGTTATAATACAGAAAATGTTCTTTTAGGTGTTGATGTCAATACAGGTAAAGTGCATACAATTTTCAATGCCTAGTTTATTTTGTATGGTAAATAAAAAAACAACAAACTCGCAATGCATTTAATGCCGTTCTTATAACCATTTGGTTTTAAAATAATTTTGTTCTCCAAATATTTTATTTTACCAACTGTTGTCTTTGTTTACATAAATTAAATAAAAACCAAATTTTACTAGCCTTCAGATTAAATGTTTATTAAGTTAATGCATTTTAATTTTAATATATAATATATACCTACTGCATAACCTACCTTTGCATTTATTTTCTTATCCTAGAAATTTAGCAATATTATAGAAATATATGCAGTAAATTTACAATACTTTATAACACATTTAGTTGCTATCAATTAAGCACATTAGTTATTACTGTTATTAGAAATAACAAGATAAAAACAAATTTTTTAGAGAAATGAAAAATATTTAAAACACAAATTTGTATTTTGAATTATCTATATACTTTTTCAAATTTAGGTAAAACATTAGTAAAAAATATACTCCAAAGGGAGAGATATGACTCCTTTAACTCCCTACCAGTGAACATATCACTGAACTTCATTTAAATATCTAAGTAACTTTGTAATTTTCTTACAATAAAAATATCAATAATTACTTATTAGTATAATAAAAATGTTAATAGTGAAAGTGTCTATGTATGCAATCAAGTTATGCAAGCATCAACATGCATTAATGAGAGCTTACTGCGTCAACATTTTAAATATTATGTAAAGCTATATAGCAGTACTAATGTACTATCATAAACTATGAAAGTATAAGACGTTAAAAAGATGAGATTATGATTTATGAGAATGAGGGCTATTATGATGTTGAATAGATGCCTTCATGATAAGACGAAATACCAATTTATAATTAAAATATTTCAGTAAGTAATAAGATTGTAAAACAACACAAATGATACTACTATCACTAAACATTTCGAAAGGATAGTCTTGAATTTAAATTAAGTTTTTAGGAGGTAAAAAGAAGTACTTACAGAAATACACATTGTAGAGCATATTTAAAAAAAAAAATAAAAAAAAAAAAAGAAGGAAGACTTTTTGGTAATTTTTTTTCTACAAAATGAAATAAAAAATGCAAAAATTGCAGTTTTTTAACGAATTGATGTTTTGGACCGTTCCTCAACACACAATACAGACAGCTCTTTCATTATATTCAATGAAAAAATAATTTTCATTGAAAAATTAGCAATAACTACTATATGTACGTTGTTTTATATAAAATATTTTTCAGATTTATCTTTATTGAAATATAAATAATAATATAGTATTTTCTATAGATTATTAGTATAAAATACAATAAAAACGAAATATTGCAATATAAAGTGTAAAAAATTCAAAAGTAAAAGATAGTACATGAATCACAAGAGTATAGGTACAATATGGTAATTAAATATTAAATTTATATTATTCGTAGTTACATTTTTCTAATGTGGCTCACCAAAAAAAAAGTTAGATAACACTGTTTTAAATTTTAAAAGATACATATATAACGTACATATATAAGTTTTATAATG